GATTTTGAAAATGATATTATTTTTCATATGTAACACAAACATACACAACGAAACCATTTAAAAGCTGGAAATATATACATGGGATGTCACTATGATAATGTGAAAGTTTGATTGAGGTAGCATGGGATTTCATTCGGATAAGGCAAAAGTGTTATTATAAATATAATACAAATATATATATACACATTATGTACAAAAATCAGTTTTTTCTGTCTTTATCTGTGCCACGCTTCAAAGCGGTTTCTGTCAATAGGACACAGGGCAACATCACAGATTCCTCATCCTCCATGTCAAAAAACAAGCTTAAAGCTTGACTCACGTTCAGAGTTCTCTTCATCATAGTTGAATCTTCAAAACTCTAAATCTATCTAACTATATCTAAATTCTCAATGTTTGTCTGTCACTTTGCTTCAATCGCAGTCTCCCGCCGTCTCTCTTCGTCTCCCGCCGCCTGTCTTCGTATATCTTCGTCTCTCTCATTTCCCGCCGTCTCTCTTCGGTTCCCGCCGTCCCTCTTCGTCTCTTTTCGTCTCGTTTCGTATCACTCCGTTTACCTGATTACCTCACCCTGGTAAATACATCATGTTGAGCAGAATCTACAGTTTCCAGTATTTTACGTTTCGTAAAATGATAAAATACGGCGAAGATATTAAAATATGTGCTTCCATTATTCATACTTCTGAAATATATCTGTATTAACTTTATATCATCGTATGTCCGTGTTTATTGGGTCTTTTTGCATGAAACAAAGACTGGCATATAGTTTCAAGCCAGTACTTTTGACAGAAATACACATATACATCCTGTTGAGCAGGATCTACAGTTTCCAGTATTTTCCGTTTCGTAAAATGATCAAATACGGCGAAGATATTAAAATATGTGCTTCCATTTTTCATACTTTTGAAATGTATTAACTTTATATCATCGTATCTCCGTGTTTACTGGGTCTTTTTGCATGAAACAAAGACTGGGATATAGTTTCAAGCCAGTACTTTCGACAGAAACACACGGCAATGTTGTTCGGACTGTTGTTTTTATGCGGCACCGGCTTGAACAGGTCATGTGATCTGATCACGCCGGCGTGACGGTCGACTCCAAAGGGTTCATATGAAATACATAAGTATTTTTACAACTTGTATTTAGAAATACTCTGTTGTAATTATTGATGCATACATGTGTTCATCCATTCAATGTGGCATCTGCTATAATGGGGTTAATGTATGATATTACTTAATAATACAATACATTATAATATATGATATGATAATTACATTTTAGTTTTATTTATTTCTTATTTCATAGTTTCTCATTATTATTATTTTTATCATTGCAAACAGACTAAGTTCAACAACACCCAGTTGTCTTTGTGTATTTTGTGAGTGAAGCGCCATCTTATGGTTAAATCCTGTTAAATCTCGCGTCCAGGAAAGAGAAGCTTAAAAAGGAGACTAAATGGAGTCTCTGGAGGTTCAAATTTGGTACTTTAATTAATAAAAAGGCGCGGTAAAATCACAAACAGGATTGTTCGACAGGAGAGAAAGTCTGCAGCTTCCTCTCCCAGGTGCTGGCCGTGCAGAATAGAGCTTACAAGCATTCGTCCTTCCCGCTTGCTCGCTGTTCGCTCCTCCTCTCTGTGAGCTGTAGTGACGTAAGGGACTTCCCCCCTCGTTCGTCTGTGTCCGATATCGCGTTAAACAGAGGATTTCGACATTTTACATTCATTGCTTACTTCCACATGCCTTTTCTCCTCCTTATCTCTTTCATAACTTTATATGTAATACATGTTAACGGCGTCAATAGCCACTTTAATGATACTAATGGGCGGTAGTCCTGGATGTCGTCATGAAGGATTTTCAGAATAAAAGCTTAACAACTGGTTGTGCACAAGAACTTATGGTTTTTCAGTATAAAACAGCATTTAAACTGACGGTATGTTTAAGGTACATTATGCTATCAAAACATTGATTTTAATTTCTAACAGTATCCATTTAAAAGTCATTTTTGTAGGGGGGAAATGGGTGCAGAGAGAAGCCTGAAAATGCCTCTCCAGGACCCCGGAGAGCTCGCAGGTGCTGGAGAGGGGGAGACAGGCTCACAGACAGGCCTGGGCACCCCTGCAGAACCCACAGCTGCTGAGTATCGACATGGAGGTTTGGCAGTCCGCCTTTCAGCACCCAAACTCGGCCCTGAGACCTCCAGCCCCTCTCAGCTATAAGAAGCCATTATCCCTCCAAACTCTTTGCTTACGGCCATACCACCCTGAGACACTAGGGGCGCTGTGTGAGTAAGTTCAGGAAGTGAAAGAGGGCATTGTTTGTCGGGAGAGAAAAATCGAGAGAAAAGGTGAAAAAGGAGCTTTTTTCGGGTGGATTCTTCGGAGCAAATACCCCCAAACACTACCGTTGTCTGGGGGGACAACTGGAAGCGGGGAAAAATGGATTCCTTGGAAGATAACACGGAGGTGAAACACGTGAGTCCAAAAATGCATGGAGAAGGGGGAAGGGAGGAGAATGAAGACGGAGCTGGAGCTAAAACAGCGGACAAAGTTGAAAAAGAAAGAGGAAAAGGAGCGAAACAGAAAGGAATGAAAGACAAGAAGGAAGATGGGAAATCAAAGAGAGAGGCGACTTTAATGTTGAAAAGATGTCTAAGTATGGGTGAACATAAAGAAGTGGAGGATAGGGAGGAGGAGGGAGAGACGGAGGAGATGAAGGAGGAAGGAGGAAGGAGGAAGAAGCTGGAGAACTGAAAGCAAAGACTGGGGAGAATACAGAGACACTAGGAGAGGTGGAGAAGGATATAAAGGAGGAAGGAGAAGGAATAAAAAAGACTTTCGAAAACCCGGAAATGGGTAAGGAGAACGCCAGTACTTCAGGCGGCGAAGGACTGAAGAATGCAAAGGAGAAAGAGAAGGAGAGTGTGAAATGAAAAGAGGCGGAGGAGGAGAGAAGGAAGAAAACAGGGGAAGGAGGAAAATCCAGAGGAAATGAGGAAGAGCCAGAAAAGGACAAAACAGCGGGCGGAGAAAGTGGAAAAAATGGATCGAAACAGAAGGAAAGCCAGGAAAAAGGAAGAAGCCAAAATTCGTGGAGAGGAGGAGGAAGAGAAGAAGACCGAAGTTACAGGGCTGACCAGACTCTGGCGGTCACTGTGGAGGGGGGGAGGGATAGAATCACTGTGATGGACATGCTGTACGAGATACAGGAAGCATGTGGGGAGGTGATGGGGTGCAGATTGAAGGGGGAAATATACGAGGTGACAATGAGGTGGGGGGAGGGGAAAGACAGATTGCTGGAGGGGGTGAGGGCACAAGGGGTGTTGTTAAAGGCGGAGGAGCTGACGGCAAACGAAGTGATGGTGTCGTTTCTGTACATGCCCATATACATCGGAGACAATCAGATATTAAAAAAGCTGAGTGACTGGGGGGTAAAGGCGGTATCTCCAATAAAGAGGAGATACATGAAGAACACAAGGGAGGGGATGAGGGTGGCAGACGGGACACGCTTCTTGAAGGTAGCCTTCAATGATAAGGTCACATCGCTGCCCTACTCAACACAGTTCAAGGTGGAGGGGGGTGCGGAATACGTAAGGGTGATACATGATAGACAGGTGGCGGTGTGCAGGAACTGTTTGAGGTCGGGGCACATCTTCAGGGAGTGTCCGGAAATAAAATGTTATAGGTGTGATGAGACGGGGCATTTTGCCAGAGACTGTACGCAAAGGAGACAGTGGGGGGGGAGAGGTATGGGGGGCAAGGGAAGAAAGGCAAGAGGAGAGGGAGGGAGAGGGGGAAAAGAGGATGAGGGGGAAAAGGAGGAAGAGGAAGGAGAGGGGAATAAAGAAGAGGGGAGGGGTAGGGGGGGGATGGAAATAAAGGAGAGGAACAGAGGGATACGGGGAAGAAAAGACAACATGAAGGGGGAATGGGGAAGGAGGGAATGGTAAAGAGGGAAATGATGGGGGAGGGAGGAAAGAAGCGAGAATGGAGGGGGGAGGGGATGAGGGTGGAAAAGGAGGTGAAGGAGAATCCAGCAAAAGTGGAACGGAAGCGATGATGGAAGAAAAAGGAACTGAAGATGTGGTGGGAGAGAAGGAGAAGAAGGAAGAAGGGAAACGACTGGAGGCGGAGGCGGCGAAGGAAATGGAGGAAGTGATCGAGGATGAGGAGGAGAAAATGAATGAGAAGGAGGAAGGAGATGAGAAGACAGCAAAAGAGAAAGAAGAGGGAAAGGAATGGTCGGTGGAAGAAGAGAAAGAAAAGAAGAACGAGAGCCCTGCTGGAGTAGAGAATAAGAGGACAACGCGGTCAGGATCGAGAGGCGAGAAGGGAGCAGGCAGACAGACAGAGTCTCCTGCGCCGTTGCCAAGGAGAGATAGGACGGAGTCTCCCAGGGAGGGGAAGAGGGGAGGTTCTGCTGGAGGAGTGGATAATCCTGTGCTGACGGAGAGATCGGGACGAGCAGCGAAAAGGACAGAACATCAAGTATGAAGGTCAGGAAAGTAAAACATTATGCACAATAAGCTGAGATGATGGTGTGGATATGCTCCTTTAACGGGCGAGGGCTCAAAGGAAAAGACAGAAGGGAAAGGGGCTTGTTGATGTGTGAAGCAGATGTAATATGTTTACAGGAAACTCACGGGGATACTAAATGTGTAGAGGATGTGGTGAAGGGTTGGGTGGGAGATGTGTTTGTAAACAATGGGAGGGAGAATGCGGGAGGGGTTGCAATACGATGGAAACGTGGATGGAGAAAGGGGGAAACTGTGGAAGAGTGGGAGGAATATTGGGAAGTGTGGAAAAAAGAGTCAATAGGGGAGGCACGGGATAGGGTGGAGAGGGGAGAGTGGGATTATGATTAGGTGGTGAGGGGGGAGGAGTAGGGGGAAAAGAGTATGGAGGGGGGAAATTGTTTGTGATTTGGGTGGAAATGGAATGCAAAATGTGATGGGGATTATATGGTTTATTTATGCATGTTTGGATATGGAAAATATATTTGAGAATGGAGTGGTTATTGATATTTGTTTTTTATTTGATTGATTTGGGTGGAAGCCTCGGGGTCCTTCCTTTTTTGGGGATCAGTGAGGTGGACTAAAATGTTTTTAAAAATGTAACTTTGTTTATGTTTTTGATATATTAAAAGATTTTTAAAAAAAAGACACTAGGGGCGCTGTGTGGGTAAAACAAGGAAGCAAAAGAGCTACGAAATTGTTTGAGAGAAATTCGACGAAAAAGTGAATTTTGAGCAGTGATCAGTTGGGTTTGTCTGGTCGAAAAACCCCCCCTACAGTACAGCTGTTGGGGGAGAACAGTAAACAAGGAGAACGATGGCTGGGAAGCCTGAAACATCTAAAGATAGCAGCGTGCATTCAGGAATGCTAGGAATGCAGTTCGGGAAAGGCTGGAAGCCGGAATTGGAGGAGGTGGCCGCAGCGGAGGTGAAGAGTGACTTAAATGAAGTAGAAAAACAAAAAGAAAACCGACAGTTTAGAGGAGATTAAAGAGAAGAATAAGCTGGTGGAGACAGAAGAAAGGAAAAAAATGGAAGAGGGGAGTTTAAACCTCGGCTCCGCGGACATAGCCGCCGCTGCTGTGGTGGAAGAAATAGCGAGTGACAGCGAGGCAGCTGGAACGGAGGAGAAAGAAGCAGAGAAGCTGAGAAACACAACGGTTGCACTGCAGAGGACTCCCCAAGCTAAAAAAGCAGAGGGGGAGGCGGAGGGAAGGAGGAAGGCAGGAGAAGGTACGTCGGGAGAGAAGATGTCAGCGGGGAGAAAGAACCCGGAAATGAAGGGTGGAGCGGAGCAGAGAAAAAGGAGAACGACGCTGGAAATGAGAGTGGAAAGGAGAAAGGCGGTGGAGGAATCCCCAGAGATGAAAGAAAGGGAGAGGAGGAAGGAGGACGGCCCAACGATGAAAGAAAGGAGAAAAATAAAGATGAAAAAAGGCAGCGGGAGACGGAGAGAAGGAGGCGGCGGGGGAAGAGTATAGACAGGAGCTCACGCTGAAAGTGTCAATGGAAGGAGTAAATATAATTCTCACAATGATGGACATGCTGATAGGGGTGCAGGAGCAGTGTGGAAGAGTGCTGGCATGCAGGATGAGGGGGGTGAGAGAATATGAGATAACAATGAAGACGGAGGAGGGGAGAGATTCACTGCTGGAGGGTGTTAGAGTGAAGGGAGTTTTGATAAGCGCTAGGAAACTAAGTGAGAATGAGGTGACAGTCTCATTCATGTATTTACCTGCGTACATTGGGGATGGCGTAATATTAGAGAGATTACGGGAGTGGGGGGTGGAGCCAGTGTCGAGGATTCATAGGAGGAAAATCCAGGGGACACAGGTGGCTGACGGGACCAGATATTTGAGAGTATTATTAAAAGGGGAGGTGCACTCCCTCCCTTACTCAACAAAATTAAGGGTGGCTGGAGGGGAGGAATATTTCAGCGTAAAGCATGATGGGCAGAGGCAGGTATGCAGGAATTGCCTAAAACCAGGGCATATCTACAGGGAGTGCCCGATGATTAAATGTTACAAGTGTAAGGGGGAGGGGCACCGGGCAAGGAGAGATGGGTGGGAAGAGAAGCGCGGAGGCATGGGTGGTGAGGGATGGAGCGAGGAGTTCCCCCCCCGGCGGGCCCTTAACCAGGGCCACCCCCAACCTGCCCTCAGAAGCCCCAAAAAACCCCTCCTCGCAACCCCCCCACCCACCCCTATGAGTGAGGGAGAGGAAGAGGCGGAGCCAGAAGAGAAAGGAGGTGCCGATGACACGAGGAAGAAAGGAAGAGCAAGGTCAGAAAGTGGTGAGGAGGAGGAAAAGAGTGAAGAGGAGATGGAGGGAGAAAAAGGCCCTTGGAATATGACCAAGAAAGAGAGAAAGAGAAGAGTGCACGATGAGAAGAAGAGAGTGAAAAAGAACGGTAGCAGTGATGATGAGGCGGCTGGAGGAGCTGGAGCAGTGGAAATGGATGAAGCAGAAGGAGAAAGGAAAGAGCCAGATGGATTGTGGCCTGGAGCTGGAAGACCGAATCAACCAAGGCCAAGGGTTGAGGAGGAGGGAAAGAGGAGCGGAAAACAGCTTAAAAGACCAAAAAGAGCGACAACAACGGAGGGAAGACGGGTGCAGAAGGAGGAATGGGCTGAGATGACTGCAGCTGGAAAGGCTGCAGCGGCTGCGACGGACAAAGAAAAAGGGTGAGAGGCTGAAATGTTTTTCTCTCATACATCAATGCTAAATGCTAAATGCTAAATGAGCGTGGCGGTCGTATCCTTCAATGGCTGTGGCCTGAAGGCAAAGGACAGAAGAGATCAGGCGATTATGCTTTGTAAAGGGGACATCATATGTCTCCAGGAAACCCACTGGGATGAGAGGTGTGTGGAGGATGTGAGGAAAGAATGGATGGGGGAGGTTTTTGTAAACAATGGGGGGTTAAATGCAAGGGGGGTGGCAATTTTAGTTAAAGGTGGGGTGGTGGAGAATGTGAGGGAAGTTGAGAATGATGGTGGAGGGAGAATGTTAGGTATTCTATTTGAATACATGGGTGAACTGTATAAAGTAATTAATGTATATGCACCAAATATGGAAAGGGAAAGGAAATGTTTTTTTGAGGGGTTGGATGGGAAATGTGGAGGGAATTGTATGGTGGTGGGTGATTTTAATGTGTGGTGTGGTGTGTCTGACATCTTGGTTGGGATGGTATTTAAGGGTGATGTGTCCAGAGGGGCGTTGAAAAAAATGATGGAGGAAAATGGGCTGAGAGATGAATGGAGGGAGAGAAATGTGTGGGGGAGAGCGTTCTCGAGGAGGCAGATGGTGAGGGGCGTGCTAAAGCAGAGCAGGATGGACTTAATGCTGTGCAAAGGAAGCATGGGGAGGAAAATTGGGGAGGTGGGGTATAGGTACACTAGAGATGTTAAGATTCACCGATTCGCATCGGTGCACCGGCATAAACATTCAAGATGCGAGTGCACCGGTTGAAAGAGTGCACATCGGCTACAGTTTGGGTTGAACCGGGTTGAACTCGCGATGCATCGATTGCGTAGCGTCTTTGCATCGGTAAAAAAACGATTCATTCATATAAATCCCCTCATCTTGTCAACGCTCAGCAGAGACGATCTTTGATATTTGCTTTGCCACTACGGAGGCCGAGAGTCTCAGTTATCAACACACACGGAAGTTGAGGAGAAAGAGAAACACAGCGCACCGAAAAATACCTACAAATCAAACGTTTGGCAACACTTCGGATTGTTCAAGAAAGACGGTGTAATAGTCCTTTATGCTATATAGTTGACCGCAGGTCATGGAGAGTAATAAGGTATCCGTAGACCTTTGTATGAGGTATCTTTATTACTTAACAGGTCTACAGCCATGATACATAGATCCGTCCTAGATGCGGGCTTGCATACACACAGTATCACTCCGCAGCCGCAACTGCAGAGCTGGAAACATTGCAAACAGTTGTCTTTGTGTATTTTGTGAATGAAGCGCCATCTTATGGTTAAATCCTGTAATTGAACAAATGGGGAAATTGGGCAACGCCCTCTAGCAATTTGGCAACACCCCCAGCCACTGGCATCCGCTGGGCTTTTGACTGGGACACACCCATCTGAGTCTGATCTGGAGTGCTTCATCAGTACTGTCTGAGTCAAAGCTCCAGAGGTGCAGGCTCACCCAGTCTGATATGACCAACATCATCAGAGAGGTGAAATCCAACATGAAAAGCATGAAGAATGCAGTCACTGTCCACCAGTTTAATGTGAAGAGGGACAAACTGGAACGTCTGCCGAGCCAGGCAGAACTTCTCGACCTGATGGCCAGCAAGCCGTCCTCTATCGAGTAGCATGAAGCTGCAGCGTCGGAGACAGCAGTTACAGGACTGCACTTGTAGAACCGCACACACAGGTCCGACGGAGCACGTTCACATGAATGTGAACGTCAACGCAGAGAATGTGAGTAATGTGAAGTGCTTTTAAAGTTTTATTTGTTTAACATTAATAACAATTCCGGTGTCTTGAAATGAAGTGTGATTAGCTAACATTAACTATGATAGTGTTAAGGCAATACAAACAAACATCTGTTTGCTTATGATAGCTTCTAACCATATTAAAGTCTCTAAAAACAACTATTCGTTAGCTATAGCTTTCGGCAAAAGCATTAGCTTCGTTAGCATATTTGATAATTTGTTTAATGAAACTAGCGTGATTTTGGCAAGCCCATCTAGGTGTCATAGTTGAGTAATTGAATCACTAATTACAGTAAGAGTGTGAGTAATGTGAATCATGTTGTTTTTTTTAAAGTCAACAGCTATTCTGTTGTATTGAATTGAACAGCCATACAAGCAACAAGTGCTAAATGTCATCTGTTAGCCTATGATGACTCGCTGCAAAACCAACTGTTAACCATTTTGTTTATTTGTTTAATGAAATGTTATGGTTATGTTATTTGACAGAGGCTTTTATCCAAAGTGACTCACAAAAAACATAAAATAACCATAATTAACATTAGAATTTCAATACAAATAGTTACATAGTCAAGTTACATTACTTATTACATTTTTAACAGGGTAATTACTCATCTGTAACCTACGACATTTAAAAAAAAAAAAGTAAACTTCCCAACCCTGATAATGAATTATAGTCAGCTAATTAATTAAACTTCAACGGATGACAAAAGCATGTCAATATGATCTGTGCGTCCGCTACATTAAATCAGCAGTAGCCTAAGTTCTGTCTTCAGTGTAAATGCTTCTTTAATAGTCATTGTATTACAATTTGAATTCATTGTAAATAATCTTCACTGTGCTGACTGCCTGTTTACCGTTTATCAGACAGTCTCATCATTTTGACATGTTTTGTAATATTGCATGAGGTGTTTTAGTCAGTTATGTCGGCCTATTATGTAGGTTAGAATCTGTCGTGTCAGAATCTAACAATTAGGCCTAATTTATGTCTGTCTGTGAAATTGTTTCAAAATGTTCAGTTTTACCAATTAGGCTCTCTCTCTTTTTCAAGATGCATATTTCAATCCAAGAGGGGAGATCCTTGCCGGACCTTCAACGGTGCACGACTTGTTGCAACGACTTTCACTGCCCGTTCTGTGTCTCTGGTTTGTTCTCTCCAACCAAACACAGCCAGGTCAAAAGCCATCTAGAGAGCCACTTCCACCGTGCAGTTCTCCATGAAGGTAAAGTTAGCAAACATTCTCTTGTGAAATGCAAATGGAGTTGCAATGTGTCTGCATTACAAGCAGCCTGAATGTTATGATCAGTTCCATTTGAGCAATACATCAAAACAAGTCCTATGATTTGTTTGTGGTGACCAGTTACTTGATCCAGATGTTTGGTATTCATAATTTACACTTTTAAATAATATGATCACAAAATAATAATACTACAATTCTATGTTCTTATGTTTAAGGGTATACCATTCACAGATGTGCATTAAATTGCCGACCGGTATATAATTTCCACTGCAGCTACTGCCAATCCATGCTGGCGCGCAAATCAGACTTTGTAAAGCACCTGGCTTTGTGCAAGGCGAAGCACTCTGCCATAACCCCATCATCCCAGATCCATCAACGCCCATCATCCCAGATCTATCAACGCCCATCATCCCAGATCTATCAACGCCCATCATCCCAGATCCATCAACACCCATAATGCCTGTCATCCCAGATCCAGCAATCCCCATCATCCCAGATCCATCGATCTGAATTGTGCACCAATGCCTTAGCCTTTCCCTATGCAAGACTTTAGATGACGTCTTGTTCTTATTGTTTCAAAGGCATGGCCAAAGGTTTGCTTTCTGGACTCTGGAGGCCAGAAGCTTGCTGGAGGGAACCCTTCAGCCAATATTCAGAGTGCCACGCCTCACCCCCAGTGAAGAAACAGCAGACCCCGCCTCACCCCCAGTGACTGACCAATCCGATTTAAAGCGTACTCTGTAATCGTATCATTCTTCCAGCTGTATACTTCCCTGCTGAATATATTTACTGCTTACCGTATATATAATATCTTATTTATATCTACTAATTGATGTTTGTTTTTGCACTGCTGTTAAGATGCTAAACTTCACTTTGTTAATTAAGGTAATTAAGGTGAATCTAATTGTTACGTTCCCACTTGGCTAGGGTACAAACGGGAAACGACACGACCAGATTGGATTTGGTATATTTGTTACCGGTGGTTTTATTGTCACTGAAACTAGGCAAAATGATGGTCACACAGATTGGCCCCACAACACGGGTCAATCTGTCACTAGAATACAACACAAAGGGTCTCCAAAAGAGAGTTGCCCCGCTATAGAAAGAAAAACAAATCTCACTACTCAAGTGGAAACAAGCAATAAACAAAACGGGACTGTGGAAACACACAGCTGGTGCGGGTTTACAGGTGCTAATCACCTGGCTCTACGCAATATCCACTCACAGGAACGCTGGTCTACAGGTGCTAATCAACCTGGATCTAAGCAGTATAAACACACAGGAATGCTGGTCTACAGGTGCTAATCAACCTGGATCTAAGCAGTATACACACACACCAAAATCCCTACGCTAACACAGAACCCGACGACACACTGCTACTCAGTGTGCTCGCCTAGAACCCTACTATAGACACTGCTAATCAGTGGAGCTAATACCAAAGACACATGCTAAATCTCAGAATTCACAGAATGAAGGCTTATCACAAGGATAGGGTTGAGGCATCTGACACAAAATACAGAGCATCCCGACTGTTGTCCGTGCTCAGCCTTTATACTCCTCCCCCTGAGCGGTCCGGACGGCCAATGACAGCAGAGGAACTGCACAGCTCATTTACATACACAAACAGACTTAAGCTCACAAGGTAGCAGCGGCTGTAACACTAATCCACTTAATTTAATCAGTGCCAGGTAAGGCTACCTAATGGCGGGGAATTACAGCTCTTCTTACAATTGACGCAAGGAACAATTAGTTTAAATCACATTGACCTACAACGCTATTTAAAGCATCGTCAATATATCACATTTTACTCTGTATTCCTGTTATTACACAAAGGTAAAACAGCCTGACTGATACTGGATTATTTAGGCAATAACAATCATATACAACTGACGTATAATATGAGCTCTGCCAAAACTGCCTGACAGCAGACCCCCAGTGTGGAAATTCAAATAAATAAAAATGTATTCTGAACTGAAATGCCTCTCGGTCAAACTGCTTGTTTATCTTTTGCAGGCTGGTGCATGAACACACTAACAGTTGTTTTTCAGTAATCTAGCACCTCTTCGAAGACACCTTTGATTTATTAATAATAATAATGAAACGAGAATTATGATACTGTAGAAGGAACAGTGTTTAACAGTGTTGTTTTCTTTTAACAAAAACATACCCAAAAATAAATTAACAGTGTTGTTTAATATACATTAAACATCTCTTTCGACTCCACTTCAAGCGATAGAACTATTAACGAAGCACTTTTATACTAATAAAGGACTGGCTTTTCTAAAGCCAGTTGAGTAGCACTTGAAATGTTTTTGCTCTATGAAACCTGATGTACTTATATGATTCTGTTTTCTTCAAGTTGTATTTTGTTGGACGAACGCACTTATTGTAAGTCACTTTGGATAAAAGCGTCAGCTAAATGCAATGTAATACATAAAAGACTATCTTCTTTAAATTCTCCGTCACGTGCTCCGTCACAGCCGCCGTCACGTGCTCGGTCGGACCTGTTTGTGTGGTTCTACAAGTGCGGTCCTGTAACTGCTGTCTCCGACGCTGCAGCTTCATACTATTGCCTCTATCACCCAGTACCTGTTATATGGCCACCGTCCGGGCGTGTATGCCAACATGACCAACACTGAGGTCAGAGAGGCGGATAAAAGGGGAACTGCTGAGGGCGCCTTTCATAACACCCAAGCACACCTTACAGGGCATAGGGGCAAATATAGGGAACAATTAAAACAGCACTGAACGCTTTCAGGATTCATCATCACATTTCTTCATCATTGTAACATGTAGCTGTGCATTTGTGCTATCAGCATTCAGGAGGATATCAGAGACGAGTAAGCAGGAGAGATGCCTTCGCTGCCATGCATCAGGACTGAGTGAGCCGAAAAGGGCTTCTGCACTCTTGTATATATAGGTGTGGGAGGAGCTTATTTGTCTGTGAGTTTCGTGAAGCTACCGTATGTTCCCGTAAGCAGGTAAGTTGCCATGTATTTTCTTAATCCTATGTTGGACCTTTGTAACCCCAATAAAATGTTCATTCCAAATGTTATCCAAATTGTTATTTATTTACAATTCACGTGTTCTCTTAATTAATTTCAAGTGGGCTGCCATTTTAGTTTTAAGGCATGAGGAGGAGTAAGCACGTGGGCGTCCATTTTAGGTTACGAGCTGGAAAGGGTTTGACGGTTAGGATTATAATTATAATGAGGGGGAGAGAGTATCAGGCAGTGAATTATAAGGGGCCACCAGAGAGAGCGAACCTGCCACAGAAATGAGAACATGGGGCACTCGCTGAGTCAGGGAAGAAAGGGTTTCAATCCTGCTGCCAAGACGGCTACAGGACTGAATGCACTGGCCATCCTTGCTCTCCACCGAGGCAGATATGACGTTGAGTGATAGCTATCATAGTAGTGTTTTTACTATCACTCACATATAACAATTCTAATACACATCTTTAGTAGTAATCCCAGGAGTCTGATTGTTTCGGTTTATTATAACTAAACAATCTCCCCCCAGGATAGCCCTGCAAGGTGATCAAATCCAAGCAGTGTGTATTATAGGAACATGTAGCTGTGCGTGTGAGTTTTCAGCATTGAGGAGGATATGCAGCTATACGCGTGAGCAAGCGATGCATTCGCTGCGCTGCATCAGGACAGAGTGAGCTGGAAAGGGCTTCCACACGCTGTTTATATAGAGGTGTAGGAGGGGCTTATTTCCCATGTAACTTTCTGAAACCTCCGTATGTCACGGTGAGCAAGTGAGTATCCATAGTTTTTTCTTAATCCTGTTTTTGACCTTTGTGACCCCAATAAAATGTTCATTACAAATTGTTATGTTGTCTCTGTATTTATTTACAATTCACGTGTTCTCTAAAGTGGGCCTCCATTTAATTATTTCAGCATGAAGAGGAGTACTGTTCTAAACAGTTTAAAAGTGTCAGACATAGGCCGCGGCCGCCTTGTTGCAATTGCACTGGTTTCAGTTGGCTTCAATTTGTTTTATATCGTCAGCCATTGGCTGAAGCCCCGCCCATATCGAATGTACAGAGCAGGCATCTCGTTGGCAAGTTGGAACATGTTCCCGTCCTTGTTTTTCAAAAGTTCAACTGCTGCATCAAGATCAGTTCGCTTTCCCTGAGCTAACGGTTTTCCAACAATGAGGTAAATATCACCGTCCTTGGAACAATATTTTTCATTATCAATGTCCGTACCCTTCGCCTGATCAAGGTGGGCTCGGGGAGTAACCAAAGCCTTCATCCGGGAGAGCCGAGCCTTTGTTTTCAGATTGACAAAGCCTTGTAGATGTGGGGTGCCGTTAGCACCTAGCTCCTTAGCTACGTTAGCATAGCAACATGTAGCTTCAGTAAGCGTACGCTGAATGAAGTCCAAGTCGATGAGTGTATAGTTGTTGAGAGTAAAACACCATCTTTTACAAGGGTTATCCCTCTTAGAGGAGGAAGGACAAAAATTGTGGCTTGGATCGTGGTGGTGCCATGGTTCCAAGGTGCCGAGGTTGACGGTAATACTAACGTCAACCTTGGAACGTCTTTTGTTTTATAGGTTTCAACGCAAAATGGCGCCACGCAAGCGCAGACAGGTCAAGAGGCGGACCCCAGCTCCGCGCAGGCGCAGATCAACAAAGGTCCGGGCGATGAATGGTAACACCTTCTGCTGGAGGATCACCAAGCAAACTGCGTGGACAGTCCCCAAAAAGACGTCTAGTGCTGTGGCGGGAAACTTCCTGGGGATAGCTATCAAGCTAAATGATTTCACTTCACTTGTACACTGGGACAGATATAGGTTTGCTAAGGTGAAAGTCGAAGTAAGGCCAAGATATGCCACATACAATGTGACCCAAACACTTAATCAAACTATGGTTGATTATGATGACATTACTTACGTACCAACACAAACAGCGCTGTACTACGGCTATGCTACAGCCCGAAAATAGAATGCTAAATCCGGCTTCACTCGCACGTATGTGCCGAAGTACTATCTGGTGGCCGGAGCACAGGCGGCAAAGAACAACTGGATCGACTGTCAAAGCGGACAAAGTGTCCTTCATTACGGCTTAAAGGTCTGGCATGAGCCACCGCCGGAAGCTAGAGAGTACATTGTGATTATCACAGCCTGGATCAAATTCCAGGGGATGTTAAAGCTTCAGTAATCTCGATTCCCCGCTGTGCAAGCATGCCCTTCGGCCTGAGTAATCGGTCACTTCGCTTAACGGCTCGTTCCCTTAGATCGGTTTAAATAATAACATGAAATGTATATGTGTTTGTACACATTTTTATTAAAAATTATAAGGAACACTTGGGTTGTATTGTGGTGTATCTTTCAACTCCTGGAAACATTCATCCGCACCATTCCACATTTTTGTAGACGTTGACTCGCCGCATTACCCATCTCGTCGGATTCTCAAAGTACCGCAGTCTCTTCTCCTAAATCCTTTTGAACTCTCCTATCCACTTTTCCTTAACCCTGTGACGTTTCACACAGAGGTCAAGGAATAGACGATAGGAGCTGATTTTTTTTACTATAAACCGCCAGGATGACTCCGGCCTTTGTCAGCCTGCCGGTCTGGCAGCACAGCTGCACACCCGGTGGGTGCTGAATGCAGCTGAGGTGGCGCCTCTGCATGTCCTGGATGAGGAGAGGGTCAAGCAACAGGATGTCCAGGTTGTCGCATCCTGCCGCAAGGTTTTGAGGAGGTCCTGGATCAGGGCGACCATCGCGTGCTTCACCTCCATTTTGGACCGCTTGGCCTCGGTGAGACAGCGGGCATCTCCGGGGTCCACCTCGAAGATGCACAGAGACAGCTGCCTCATGAAGGCGGGGTACAGCTCGTGGCTCTCTGTTGTGACACCTGCTGTGAAACGTAACATCAGGTGCCAGATGTCCAGTCTCACCACAAGCTGTCCCCACTCCTGTGATAAGGAAACGAAAGTCTGTCTGATTATTGGAGTACAATTTTTCTCAAAGCGTGGCTTTGGTCGATAGTGATTTTGTGTAAGATAAATAATATTGCTATAATTCTACTGTGATTATCAGTACTAGTATTGACAGACCTGAAACAAGGCAGCTGTCTTTGACACGCCTTCTCTGTTGCAGCAGTCTCGATCCACGTAGATCAGCTGGGGGGGTGGTAACCCGGCGAGTCGGTACCGCCTCATCAATCCGGCCGCCATACTGGAAAAGCCCTCGGAGCAGGTGAAGACGCTGATGAGGACCTGCCCGTACTCGTTACCAACATTAGTAACCCAGGCGGCCGCGTTGGAAGCAGTACCAGCGAGCTTCTTAGTCACCTGGACAGAGAGAGAGAGATTTCAAATGTTAACGTGAGTGCATAAACACACGGCGGCTCTAAGAAAAAAAATGAAATCGTGACCTTCTTAGTGGAATCCATCTTTAGGATGGATCTGAAGGTGGACGTGATCCTGGCCTTGTACTCATCCAGCCGCGTCAGCACGTCGTAGCCGTACACCGTCAGCAGCCAGATGGGTGAGGGCAGAGTGGGCATTTGGGGCGGTGGTGCCGAGGTACTGGATCGCTCTCCGCATCCAGGCATCCGAGTGCTGCTCCCGCAGGGTGTTGCACAGCTGAGTGGCACTGTTGCCAGAGTGCGGGACTTCAGCTGTGTAACCACCCTCTGGTCACAGGACAGCCTGCAGAAACACAAAACAAGCATTATATACAGCTCCGTCATCACATTCATTTATATATACGGTATGTTGTCAATTCAAGTACAGCTGGGAACTGGCAGCTGTAGGTGGGGACCAGCTGCCTGATGATGCCCTGTGACCACCCGCCGACCTTCCTTACATTGACGGCACTCAGGTACTCAGTGGCCATGAGATACCTGTCCAGGACCCTCCGGATGGTCCTGTACAGCCCTTCACCATGGACCCGGTGCATAAAGGCTGGGGGCCTGTCAGCTGCAGACTAGCATTAGCTCCATTTATGAACAACATAGCAGCTAAAAACGGGACATCAATAGACTCATTAATACACAACAGCCTGAATAACACCCCCCCCCACCCCCCCCCCTCTTAACATTCCATCTCCTCCTCTTTCTCCATCTCCTCCTCTTTCTCCATCTCCTCTTCTCCTTCTCCTCCTCTTTCTCCTCCCCCTCTATGTCCTCCTGCTTCTCCGTTTGACTCCCCGTGTCAGTTCGGTCTGCACACATGAAGACACAAA